ATGTAAAATATGCACATACCCTTCAATAAGCAATTTCACTGAAACAGTTGTATACATGCAAAAAAGACACATGAGGACATTAACCTCAAAACTATTTATAACATCAAAAAATTAGAAGCAATCTAAATGAAAGTGACTGAAAATATTAAAGTAAGTTCATACAATGGAATACCATGCAACAAATTTATGAAGAAAGAAAACGAATGATCCATTTAAAAATGTCTGTCCATGATTTGTTGATTTATAAGACTTGAATGTCCTATATAAAGCATTTCAAATAGTTCCTGGCAAAGAGTAAACATTAGGAAAAATTTATCAAAATGTTACAGTATATACATTTAACTATGATTTAAAATAAGGAAATACAGAAAACTTAAAAAAAATGTAATAGTATATGCATGAAAAAAATGTTTAGTCATTCAGTTCTGTCCAACATTTTTGTGACCCCCATGGACTGTAGCCCACCAGGCTCCTCTGTCTGTGGGATTTTCCAGGCAAGGATACTGGAGCGGGCTGCCATCTCCTTGACCCAGGGATTGAATCCATGTCTCTTGCATCGCCTACACTGTCGGGGGGGATCCTTTATCACTGAGCCACTGGGGAAGCCAAATAGAGGAATATGAATTAAATGGTAAACAGTAGCTTTGTTTGGGAAGTGGGATTACATAGGGATTTTTTTCTTTTAATAAATTTGTGTTGCCTGAATATTTTAATATAATTATTTTTGTATTGAAAATAAATATATGCTTTCCATAAAATGAAGAAAACATTATTCAGAAAAGAACATTCTCCATATGCATAGAATTTAGTCTAAGCATTCCAAATTTATATGATGGACTAAATATTTTAGAAATGTATTAAATTTCTGGCAGTGTTACCCATTCAGAGGATGTAAGTGAGGGAATGGAAGGAAGAGAAAACAGATCATGCCACAAATGTGGGGGGGGGGGGTGGGGGGAGGGAAAAATAACAGCTATTTCATCTCCCCTCAAAATCTAAAATTCTGACCTGGAGCCCTAAAGTCTGTCAGAGCCAAAAGAGGAAGTAAAGGACCACCCTAAGTCCCAGTCATCCCTTGACAGATGTTTCACAGACAATGCTGCAGACACATTCTGCAGGGTCCTCCTGACACATTCAGGCCAGGCAAGGCTCGGCCTGGTTGCTGCCTGCAGGAGTGTAAATCCAAAGGTAGACCTAAACCATGAGAGTGATAATGATGCAACAGACAACTAGCAGGTTTTCTAAAGCCTAAGGCTCTGCAAACTTTCTTCCAAAGCTGCAAGATCTGAAACCTAAATCTCTAGGAAAACAAATAGGATATGTTGCTGTACAGAAAATTTCTGGTTTTTGTGTATCAACTATGTTCGTGGCCACTCTAAGGGACAAAGTAATGAACTGTGTGAGTCCTGAGTTTTTTTCCCTAACTCAGAAGTACTACCTGCTAGTTTTCCTCTATTTTACATCTCAGTTGATTGCTCAATATAATCAGAACTAAATTCAGTGATGATGACAAAAGGGGAGTTTGTATTTTTGGACAAGATTTTAAGAGGAATGCTTTAGCACAAAGTATAGAGTGCTCTGGGGTTTTTGAAAAGTTGCTCATTACAATTTCCTTTTATTCCTCTTAATCCTTTTTTAAAATTGGGACTAAATGTTGAAATATTTTTGTCATTTATTGACAGAATAATGAACTTACTGATATGATTAGAGCAAACTCTAGGAGTAGAATTCCTAGGTCAGTGGGTCACATAGAAAAGCAGATGACTTGCTTCATCTTTGAGTGAGAAGTCAGAGCACAGTGCTGTCCCGGTCTGACTGACCCACAAGAAAACTTCATGGAAGGAGAGGTAATGAGATTCTGTCCCGGACTTGACCTCACTGGAAAGCAGTCCACACCTCAACTACAGCTCCAACCACACTGAACGGCAATTTATCTGCTCATGAGAGTTTCTCTCTCCAAGCTTTCTCCAGGTGAAGAATGATATCTTATGCACCTAAGTACCTGCTGTGTCTTACACATGGCCAGGTGGCTGAGTTATTTCTGTTCCCTGACCACAAACTATATTTTGCATGTAAGTTGCCAACTTCAGTCTGCGAGGTCAGATTCAAGGGAGAATACAGGGACCACGAAGAAACGAGGAGGAAATAATGACAGTCTCTGAAGGTAAAATTCCATAACCCTTTGCCTCAGGACAGTGGAAAAGTAATAAAAAGTACTCAGGCCTGTCCCAACCTTGCTCTCCCTCAGCTCCTCGGGGCAGGAGAGGGCTAATAAATGTACCTGGCGTGCACCTGACCCTCCAGCAGTAATTTTTTATCACTGCAAATCCTTACAGGATTGTATGTTATAGCTTCCAGAACATTCTCAGGCATATTCCCTCACTTGACGCTCCTCACAGACATCCCAGGGGACAGGACAGAGCCAGAGTTCAATTCTAGTGGCTAGACACAGACATGAACTCCAGCACTCAACTACCTGCCAGGGAAAGTTACTAATCTCATTTAGCTTCATTTTTTTAATCAGTAAAACCGAGTTAATATTTACCTCATGGAATGTTTGTGAAGATCAAGTAACATCGCGAAAATCAAAGTCCCTGGCAAATATTAGGTGCTCCACAAGTAAGTATGACTTTCCTTCCTTTGACGCTTAAGTCTTTCCCTGGACGACGCTTCTGTCAGAATCCACAGCCACTGTCCTGCAGAAGGCCTCCCGGCTGTCTGCTCGCTTGGGGCACACACGGCAACCCCCGTCCAGGACAGAAGTAGACTGGCGGCTGCCCCAGGGTCAGAGGAGACCCCCGGCTGGGCTGCCGGAGTGACCCTGCATCGTGTGGGCCCTGGGATACAGGTCTGGCCACCAACCCTGCACCCTCCCGCGTGTGTTCCCTCCACGGCGAACCTTTGCCTTATTTTCTCAATTTTTTGGACACTGGCCTCATATCCATCCTTTAAACTTTTTTTATGTCTCTGCTCCCCAAAGAATTATGGAACAAGGGCAGGCCTGTCTAGCAGGATGATCTTCTCCTTTCTCCCCACCTCCTTCAACTTGCACGCCTCTAACCAACTCTCAACGAGCAAGGCTTAGAGCATTTCCTTTCTACTTTCAGGAAAAGCACAGTATTAACTGTGATTCTGGAACCAAAGTACCTGAGTTCAGTTCCAACTCCACCTCTCACTGTCTGCTGTGGCCCCAGCAAGTATGTAACCTCTCTTTCCCTTGGTTCCATCCTTTGTAAGTGGGCATAACAATACAACTTGGGGGAATTCAATGAGGCACGCAGTAGGAACTCAACAAAATCAGTTCTCTTCTATCTTATGTGTGTGTATAAATGTATCTGGAAGGTTATGCACAGAATAGTTTATACTGGTATCCTTCAGGGAACATGTAGACGAGAACTTTTATTTGCTATAAACTTGTACCATTTTACAAGCATATATTGTTTTTGTAATTTATTTTTATTTATTTTTTTTTTGTAATTTAAACAGACTTTTAACAAGAATATACTTGGGTATGGTAAAGAAAAGGAAAGGAAGAGGGGGAAAGGGAGGTGGAAAAAGAAAAGAGAAATGGTTTGCCTGAGGCAAAAGTGGAGGACTGGATCAGAGTCATCGCTGGTTGAGACCTTCTGACTATAGCTTTAGGGCCCGGTGCAGAGTTCCCCTTGCCTTGTTGGCGAAACCTTCAGCCATGTATATACCTCAGCCCTACTTAGATTTCCTTCATGTTTCCTCCAGTATTCCAGGTGGGGGTGGGTGTAGGGGGAAGCCCAGGGTCTACCGGACCAAGTTATGGTGGGCTGGAGGGGTGAGTGCAGGGTTTCTGATCTCATTCATGGTGGAAGGGCTGCCAGTCTCCAGAAATACTTTAGGGAGCAGGAGGTAGCTCTCCTGGGTCCCAGGGGAAGAGGGGGCACTCAGGCCAAGCCCTGGAATAATTCCACCCTACTAGGCAGAAATGCTTCCAAGGGGCCTGGGAAGGCCCCCCAAGAAGTCCAGACCACTTTGTCTGGGAGGAATAAAGGAGGGCTCTGGCTGTTACTGGAGAAGGCAATGGCACCCCACTCCAGTATTCTTGCTTGGAAAATCCCATGGATGGAGGAGCCTGGTGGGCTGCAGTCCATGGGGTCGCTAAGAGTTGGGCACGACTGAGTAACTTCACTTTCACTTTTCACTTTCATGCAATGGACAAGGAAATGGCAACCCACTCCAGTGTTCTTGCCTGGAGAATCCCAGGGACGGGGGAGTCTGGTGGGCTGCCGTCTATGGGGTCACATAGAATCGGACACGACTGAATGACGTAGCAGCAGCAGCAGCAGCTGCCTGTTACTAAAGAATCTTCAAAGCTGTCTCAATTTCCCCATTTCTTCAATGTCTCATGAGACAGAGACTGTAGCAAGCAAAGGTCTGTCTTATTAACTTCTATGTAAGAGTCCCCATGGGGCTATTTATCTTTTTCCCATTACCTAAAACTTCAGTAGTATGCATGGTCAAAATAAAAAAAAAAATCATATCCTTTTTTGGTAAGAGTTATATTATCAGAATGCCAAGAGGAATGCTGCCTACTCCTTATGTGTAGCCAAGACATTCATTTACCCAACCTACATTTCTGACTTTTTTAAAGGGTGAGAATCCTCTTGTTTCTAATTGCCCTCACATCACTTCTTATGGGTAAAAATCTATCAGCTCACAAAGCTTCATTTCTAGAAAATCATCTACTCTATAGAGCATGTTCTATGAAAATTTATTTTCAAATTGCACACTCTTATATTGCTTCTATGTGTCTTCTGGGCCCTACCCAGACAAACATAGCTATTCCTGCTGGAAACTGTGAAAATGTAGTATTTTCCCCACCTTATTAATACCTCTGCTAACAAAGTTCCTGCCAACTGAGCATGTTCATCTGAGCAATTCCCCTCATTCTATTTGCAATCCCACATTTACCCCAAGGAACTGGATCTGCTATAAAGATGTCAGAAAGGACCCCCAAGAAAGTGGCTTACCTTTCTCGTGGCTGCTTGGTGGCGGGGGTGGGGAAGTGACCGGTTTAGACTTGTCATAGTTGTTAAAGCTCTGGCTCCGTCGGTTGTTAGCAGTGGCTGACCCTCCGCGTGTCTTGGCCTCGCTGCCTGCAGCGGATACCCTTGCGGTAGGACCTGGAAGTCTAAAATGCAAAAGCAGCAGAGTAATGGCTTCAGTCTCGGGAAAACTGCGGAATCTCAGAAGAAGGAACTGCAGCCATGCAAGGGGTAAAAGAAACCATTCAAGACATCGGATCTGTGGTGGCTTGCTAGTCCAAGGACTCGGTGGAACCATCACAAACATCTAGGCTATAACAACCCCAGTCCAAAGGCAAAGTATGAGCTGTTTTCCTTTGAGCACAGAAAGAGAAATATATGACTATGTTTGCTGACTAGAAATACGAAGCTGAGGAGTTCGCTGGTGGCCCAGTGGTCAGGATTCTGGGCTTTCAATGCCGTGCCCCAAGTTCAATCCCTAGTCAGGGAACTAAGATCCCACAAGCCACCCAGGATGATCATTAATAATAACAAAACAAAGCTCATCTTCCTTTTTCTCCTGGATGAGTAATTTTCATTTTCAAGAGGACCAAACCATGTCATCTCAAATTCTATCAAGAGTGGAACATAAAGCCCTGTTAAGACACTAAATTGTTGCACCTTATGTGTGCATCTCTTCTGATAGGTATTGAAAATGGTGTGTTTTTTTTGCCATAATCTAGGGATGTAAGTATCAAGAAAGACATAACATGATGGACATAAAGGGAACTGCTACTTCAGAACCTAACACACCCGCAATGAAAACTTATGGCCTGGATGGAAACATTTGTTCAGACATACATTTTCCTTCAACACCTGACAACTGCATAGACATTACCCTGAGATTGAAGCCCAGCTTCTCTTAAGTAGATAGATAAAATCATATATTCCTTCTGTAAAATGGGCAGGAATCTGTTAGCCTAAAGACAAACACACACTTTCCCTTTAAATAAAACACTTCATTTTTGGGGTGGTTTGGGAAATAAAATCAGCAGACTAATCTTTAGTAATGTGTCTAAAGATATTATGGCCCATTCCCCAAAGAGTTAAGGCTAAGACTCCCCAAATCAGAATTTTTGTTCAGGGACTACTAGGGAGACTGTTTCCAATCATTAGAGTTGAAAGATGAATTAATGATGAAATATTTAGTAATATCTTTCAGCTAAAACCCACTTAGCAGTGTTTAAAAGCCACTGGAACCACAGCCGACCAGCATTAGATCTAGTGATAAGTCTGAATTTTCAACTTATAAAGCTTTCATACTTCTCTTTCCACACAAATCTGTAAGCACCAAAGAAGTCTGCAGTCTGGAAGCATTTTAGATAGAAGCAGGCAAACACTTTAAACTTATTCTTGTTGGCTAAGCAAGAAAGATGGTTGTAGAGTAAACAGGGAACACGAGCTGGTGTGAGAGGACTGTAAAATTCATACAGTCGAGAAAAAGCTGGCCCAGCTCCTCAACGGGGAGCTAGGAGAGAAGGAAGGGGGTGAGCTTTTTCCCCCAAAAAGTGGCGGAGGGAAGGCCTCACTTCTCACTACACTAGGAGGATTTACCCCTCTGTTAAGTTACCCCATCTTGTTTGGAGAAGACAGTCACCCCATGAAGACAGGCACAGAGTGGGGTGCAAAACCAGCAATATCAGCGCCTGTGGGGAGCAGAAGTGGCCACTTTAACCGATCAGAAGAGGTCCAGCAAAGGGATCTTGGTACCTCCAGGTTCTGATTCCAGTGCAAACAGCATCCTGTAAAGCCTCTAAGATGGACAGTGTTATCTGAGGACTCACAGCCAGCGGTGGAGCTGCTGCAGGTGCTGATGTGGGGCTCCTCCAGGCTGGACTCGGCAGGAGTTTTTATGCCCACAGATAGGCCTGGAAAAGGATGATGGACTTGTTCCAAGATGATGTCATAGCAACAGTTTTAAGTGGTGCAGGGTAACACAGGCCACAGCATTCTACTCCAGTGTGGAATTGGCAAAGAACAGCGAAGCAAAAAGCATCGAGGAGGGAAAAGATGTGTTCCTTTCAGAGTTGCCAGAGAGGCCTCCCTGCTCTAACCTGGGATTGGACCACAGATTTTTCAGGGCAGCACAGGGCCTTTATGGAGGCAAGAAATCAGTAATGGATGGGATGGCCACATCTCTGAATGAAGTGGGCAACCTGGTCCTCTGTGAAGCAGTGTGATATAGTGGATAAAATGAGCTTTTCCCTTTCAAATATAGATATGATATTGGGCCAGTGCTATAACCTGAGATTCATGTTCTTTATTTGTCACTTTTGAATAAGAGTAAAGTACCCCCATAGGATAACTGTAAACTTGAAATGGGACTTAATGTCCAGAAAGTACTCAGTGCAGGTTGGTTCCCCTTCTCCTCCTCTCTGCTGAGCACAGATTCCTAAAGGAATTGGACACAGTCATAAAGAAAACATGCTATGGTATAAAAAAAGAATCGAACAAATAAAGAAGGAAATAGATCTAAGTTAAAGAAGCAGAAGAGAGCTGGACAAAAATCAACACACACAGAGTTGGAGATCAACATTTCCAAAGAGGCATGACAGGCTTTGGCAAATAGGATTCATCATTTCCCCAAGGAACAATGGAGAAGAACAACTCCTTCATTCAAGTATTTGTGACAAAGACCTTACACCTGGGGTACCTCTGAGCCATCTGTGAGCTCCACTCCCCAGACTGAGACATCCTCAGTCTTGGATTAACTGAGACAGCTCTGGTTTCCCAAGGTGCGGTTACCATCATCTCTTCCTTGAGTCAGAACCTGGAGGTGCTACACAGACGGACACATCCTTTAAAGGCTGCAGGTTGTGCCAAGTTTTCTGAGACCTGGAGGAGGAGGTCTGGAAGGCCTTGAGGGCAGCTGACATGGCAAATAAAGATGCGGAGCACATACCAAGCCATCAAAAGCCACCATCAAGCTCAAGCCAACTCACATCACTCTCTACCTCACCACCATCACACCCTAGTAAGAACAGCACCCTTAACTTGATCAAATGGGAAAACTGGATGGATACCAAGTAACTTCTTCCGAGTGTCAGAAGGAATCCCTGTGAATACAGTGCTTTAAAACTTGGGTTCTGTTGTGAATGGGGTGGGACAGCTGCTTGCTCCAAAGCAAGCACCTTCATGCCTCTGAAACTTTCAGCAGAGTCTGCCCCACAAAAAAAGGCCACGAGTGAATGTGTGTTGGGTGGGAAATAAGGAAAAGAGCTTCATTTGGGTCCACCCAGGAGGGAACCGAAACATCCCTTGGGGTGAGTCAACCCACAAACTGAATTCATTCAGACTGAATTGAAAGCACAGGATTTCAAAGCCAAAGGTGCCCATGAGATCCTAAGATACCCGAGCCATCTGCGTGAGGGCACTGGACTTCACAAACTGAAGAAAGGCTATGCTATGTCTGTGTTCCTGAGTCCTTCCTTACCCTAATTCATATGTTGAAATCATAATGCCCAATATGATGGTATTAGGGAGTTGATGAGGTCGTTAGGCAGAGCCTCATGAATGAGATTAATGCCCTTATAAATGAGGATTCAGAGAGCTAGTACACCTCTTCCACCATGCGAGGACGTAGCAAGAAGTCAGCGGCCCACAACCTGAAGAGGGCCTTTACCAGCATCCAACCAGGCTGGCACCTTGACCTTGGGTTTCCAGTCTCTAGAACTGTGAGCAATAAGTTTCTGCTGCTTATAAGTCACCCAATCTGTGGTGCTTTATTATGGCAGCCCCAAAAGACCATCACAGGGTTCTAGCTCAGTCTTATTTAGATCTTAAGCAGCTGAAAGACTCTAGCTGACATCTAAATTACATATGTATTGATAAAAGAATATGAAAGGTCACAAGTAATTCTGAGAAGGAAAATAATGGCCTTGGAAGTTGGTGGATGGTCAGGGAAGATTCCAAATAAAAGCGACCCCAGAGAAAGAATCGGTGTCTGCAATGTGAGTAGGGGGCAAGAAGATAAGGGGCAGAGGGCTCATGCAGAGGGGGGCTTATACAAAAGCACCGAGGAAAGAAAAGGCTGGTGTGTGCTGGGGATTGGGGGGCAGCGTGGGAGGAAACGAAGCTGGAAAAGCAGGTGGGGCCAGCCTCAGTGTCACACCATGAACCTTGGACTTGGTCCGGTCCTCCAGCAAGGCAACAGTCACTCTAGAGGCTGAGCGCAAAGCTAGAGCTGGAAAGCAGAGTAGCTTCCAGTGTCCAATGATACAGGCCGCCGGCCAACCTTTTGAAGCTGATCCTTGTTAACATCCTTGAGCATCAGGAGCACTTCTCTCCTGGCCTGGGAGCAGCTGCTGTCTGTCCACTCAGCATCTTTCCAAAGCAGAGCTGGGTCTTGCTCATGGAGAACAGCGGCAGGTACCAGAACAGATGCTGCCCCGCAGTGCCCGACTCAGCACAAGCAGAGAGACTGCGGCAAGTGAAGCTCAGATCATCCACACCCTGCCTCATCCAGAGTGCCGGAAGGTTCCAACAGCTCCTTTGCAAGAGGGACTCTGCATCCTGTGACCATTCCGGGTCCAGACAATAGTTACAAAATGAGAGGACACAAATAAGTTCTTTGAAACACTCATGTTGCTTTTTGAAAAAATGATATTTGAGGTAAGAGGTGTAACAAAGAAGCAGAAGGAAAACCCTGCTGTTCTGGGAGCCCGTGGTCAATTTCTCCAACACGTATGTGCACAGCCGAGCGGGCAGGGTGGTTAGACTGTCATTCCTGGCATGTAACCTGCGTGTGAGTTCTGGCTCCACTTGCTGCACATGCTAATGAGAAGAAAGTGGTTCTCCCATAAACCACTTCAATGGCCAGGAGCAGAAGATGCCCCACCTGCCCCCAGCTCCCCCGGGAAAGATGGCAGCTTGTGTGCCCATGCTAAAGACCTCGGAGGGCAGAGGTCATAATCGGAGATGCTTTTTGCCAGACAAGATGATTAAATGCTAAGTCTCTCAACTCCACAGCATCTGCTTTTCAGCAGCTGGGTGGAGAGGACTGAACTACTAGCCATGCTGATTCCTCCCCACCAGATGGTCGTGTAGAGATCAACTCTGTGGGATACCCCAGAGCTGGACCAGATCAGCTGAAACCACCAACAGTACCCTAATCAGCTAGTTATGGTGCACTGATTACATGCCAGGTAGCAAAGGACTGAAAATGACTTTATTTATTCCACACAGCACTGTGAGTGAACAGGGCTAGTGTTTACCAACAAGGAAACACCAACTCATGGAGATTAACTAATTGGCCCAGGTAACATAGTAAGTGATGAACACAGGGTTTGCTAGGTTTGACTGCAAAGCTGCACTCTTAGTCACCAGGCTTCAGTGCCTCCCACAGATAGAAGAAGCCTAAATACCTGAGGCTCACCAGGGATCCCAAGATCTCTTACCAACACAACACAGTGGTCAGAGGTGGAAGTTCATGGAAATTCTTCATCCCTGTACCAGTTCCCTCCATCAGTTCCTTCCCTGTATACTCAAGGTGAGGCTCCTCTCCCTGCTCAACACCCCTGGTGCCTGTCTAGGTGTCTGGCTCTGGCAGGTATTTGCACCTGAAAAGAGACTTATTTCCAGAGCTCTGGAAGAGGTGTTCAACTCACCCAGAGTGGTAGGCAGGGCTGTTTTCTTTTGGCAACCAAGCTTTACTGCAACCCCTGGTGGTGCCTGATCAGCTAAAATCTTTATCAAGATTGGGCTCAAGGCTAGTGGTGGGAAAGTGGGGGTGAGGGGAAGGCAAGGAGTGTCAGGCAAATAATAAAAGAAGATCCCTTTGGTCAAGCAGGAGATGACAAGAGTGAACATCGACATTTGAGGAATCAGTGAACTAAAATGGACTGGAATGGGTGAATTTAATTCAGATGATCATTATTTATCACCCACTCAATGGACATGAGTTTGAGCAAACTCCAGGAGCTAGTGAAAGACAGGGAAGCCTGGTGTGCTGCAGTCCATGGGGTCGCAAAGTGTCAGACACAATTGAGTGCCTGAACAACAACAATCCCTTTATCAGACTCATCAGAAACAAAATGCATCCAAAAGGAAATCTAAGTGAGGGACTGGGCTTGCCTGGTGGCTCAGAGGTAAAGAATGGCCTGCCATGCAGGAGGTGCAGGAGACGAGGGTTTGATTCCTGGGTTAGGAAGATCCCCTGGAAGAGGAAATGTCAATCCATTCCAGTGTTCTTGCTGGGAAAATCCCACGGATAGAGGAGCCTGGCGGGCTATAGTCCATAGGGTCACAAAGAGTCAGACAGGACTGAGCGACTGACCATGAGCACCAGAACTCTGATAGAAAGCCAGACCTTGGCTTTGGGTCAATCTGGAAGTCCTGTGCCCAGCACGCCTTCAGGGCAGGGCAGACAAGCCCATTATTCAGCTCTTCCTCTCTTCCCACCCCTCCCTGCAACTCCACCTCCTTCCATCACGTCATCCGGGACTGATAAGACATCGTTCAGGGGATGCGCATGTGCTTTCAATTAGATTCTTTCCCAGCGAGCTCCCATCTTCTCTCTCTCAGAGCTAAGCACACCGTGGGAACAAGCACTAGATTTCAGGTTTCCTCCACGCCTCCCACCCGCTTCCTTTCCTTTGAATGGACTTTGCATGATACACACACACACTGGGATCCCAGTTCACTGCGTGTGGGGGGAGCGGTGGGCATCTACCTGACTTGGGCCTCATGCTTTTAGGGAAAGCAGTCACTCTGTAGCACACGGCTAAGACTGCATGTTTGTGTTCCCTTCTCCCCAGATGCATACATTGTCATGTCAGTGTGACGGATCTGGAGAGGGGTCTTTGGGAGGTAATGAGGTCATGAAGGTTACAGGGGAATAGCAGTTAGCCAAGATGGCGATGGTCAGGCTCTCTTGCCCCACATCCTGTAAACAATGACTTGGCATGGTTATGTAACAGCTAAGACCATTTATAGCAATGCGCACAAGTATCATGACGTACTCACTTGGCCACGTGCCACCTTTGCTCACGTATACCTATATAAACACCACCTGACACAGCCCGTGCATCTGCTGCGACAGCCACAGCAGAATGGAGCGTGCCTGCAGTTCCTACGGCTCCTCTCATTTTCTTTCAGCTTCCCCATTCACGCCTTGCCTACCCTAGGTTCAGCAATCAGCAAGACAAAGGTGGAGCGGCCTCAGAAGAGACAGGAGAGCTTGCTTATTCTCTGCTCTCTGCCATGTGAGGACAGGGAAAAAACACAACTCTCTGGAAAGCAGGAGGTGGGCTCTCACCAACCCGACGGTGTTGGCACCCTGATCCTGGATTTGCCAGCCTCCAGAGCTGTGAGCAATAAACCTGTGTTGAATCACCCAGTCTACAGTGATATGTCATAACAGCATGCGCAGACTAAGACACACGGCTCTGAGAGGCAGTGATGACGGCAGGTCCCCCAGTACCAAGTCTGGCTAACAGGCTGACTTGTTCTACAGAAAAGTGGCTGCCCTGTGGCTTCTCCCCACAGCCAGGTGGATCCTGAGTTGGGCCTTCCCATGTGTAAGCTTTTTAGAAAAGTTAACGACTAGAAAAGGCACTCAGCCAGAGCCTAAGAGAGTAGGGGGCAGCAAGCAGACCTTCTGCAGCCATGGGTCACCTGAATACGGAGAGATACACAGCCTGGGCATCCCTTTAGCTTGAAGTCAGATTCAATGAAAAAAAATACTAGCTGAACATAATGAGGATGAGATTCCATTCCTGTCAGGATGCTACAAGGATATCATGAGGCAAAAGGCCAGGAGGAATGGTTGAAACGTAAGATTTTAAAAACCAGCATCAACAACCACATGCCTGTGTGCTGTGCTAAGTCGCGTACCAGAATTCACGGAGGAGGAGGTGGAGAGGAGAGGTATAACGTGGTGGTTACAGTGAGGGTTCTGGGGTTAGATCACCTGGGCTCAAGTCCTGGTTTTTCTGCTTTCTGTGTGACTTTGATAACTTAACCGAACTTCCTAAATTTTAGTTTCCTCATCTGTAAAATGGGGATAACAACATGACCTACCACAAGAAGACTGACTTGAAGATTAAGATAATGTATTCACATTGGCGCCTAATACACATTCAATAAATGTTAGCTGTTGATACCTTTAACACACAGTAGGTACAAGGATATAACTGGCTTTTCCCGTATCTTGGCATGGGTCCTCACAGGATGTGGTAGATGCCAAGCTGAGGCAAGACAATTAACTAGTGAGCAGGCCTAGTTTTTATTTTCAGGGACCTGAGGTGATCCATCCATGTACACGAGAGCATCCAGAAATAAAAATGAGACATAGCTGCCTTGTTGCTTTGTCTCCTCCGAACAATTAGATTCATGCTTCAGGTCTTTAACACTCAGGAGAAAACCAATCCCACATTAGTCATTTTAGGATAGCACCAATAACAAAAAGCATAACACACATAAACAAGATGCAGGTGAGGTGGGATCAGGGCCAGGATAGAGCAGGGCGTCAAACTCATCATAAAATTACTATAGAAAACCATCTAAAAACTCACCTCTCTAAATCAGAATGGACTTTGATGTCCAAGCAATCAAAGACAAAAAACTCAATGAGATGCAGAAACATTAAGTACAACTAAATCTCACAATCATCACACACACACACACACACCCCACACACACACCTTCCACCCCAGGGCCACTCTCGTCTCTAACACTCAACACTTGGTCATCAGCCAAAGCATGTTTGGTTTTCCCAAACTGCAAACATGTCAGGGGGCGGAGGACCAAAAGGAAGTGCAGCCAGGACAAAGGGGACAAGGGGCTGGGTTGAAACCATGCTTTGCGGGAGGTGGACAAGGTCTAACCTAGAGATCTTTTTCTGACCCAGAGTGAAGCGGATGATTTTGCTTTGTGATGAGTCCTTGGAAGATGCACTGCATGACAGGAAAGAAAAAAGTGGAAGAGATGAGTGAGAGGAGAGAAGACACGTTAGGAGTCCCGAGACACAGCAAAAGCCCCCGGGTTTCCCTCTGCCCGATTTTTCTACAACATGCAGCCTTTTTCTTAGGTCTAATTTGATAAAATTCCAACATAAGGAAACTGCTGTGCAAGATTATCTAAGAACTTTTGTGATTTCCTTTTTCATAACTCCAAATCTCTTTTTTGCCACCAGTCACTACACTGTCTTCCTCCACAATGAGTCCCTGAAGCCAGGGGTCTCTGAGAAGTAAACTTTGTACCTTTCTCAAGTATTCAGACCTTTTATCTATTCCACATGCTTATTCTGCTGGAATGCTCTTTGGAGGAATGTCCTGAATATCCCATTAAGTTGACCCTAAATAAGGGTGGCATGCGTGCTCAGTCATGTCTGACTCTCTGCGACCATGTGGATTGCAGCCCACCAATCCCCTCTGTCCATGGAATTTTCCAGGCAAGAATAGTGGAGTGGTTGCCATTTCCTTTCTCCAGGGAAGCTTCCTGACCCAGGGATCCAACCCACATCTCTTGTGTCTCCTGCATTGGCAGGCAGATTCTTTACCAGCTGAGCCACCCAGGAAGCCCAAATAAGGGTGGAGATGTTTTCAAGTTTTGCTGGTCTTGGGAATGTTTGCTCTCCCTAGTATCAGCAATAACCGTTTCAAATCTTCTGAACTTGCTATGTTCTGGGCTTTGAACCATAAACCTATGAATATGAAGAATCATGAATGGATTTAATAAATGGTTCAACTTATTTACTGCCTTATGAAAGAGAGAAATATTTATCTTTCTTGCATCCATACCACTGATAACATGTTCATAAAAGGATCTGAGGTGAGAAATACAATGTTGGTGTCACAAAACCCAGGATGTGAAGGAAGACAGAAGAGAATGAATTTTTTTAAAAGCAATTCTTTGTATTTTTTTTCTAAAAAGCTAAATATTGATATGATGTAAAGGAGACACAGATAGGAACTTCACGAGGTGAAAGGTGGATTGACTTCTCAGCCATCATGTAAATTAATGAGAAAAGCTGATGAGAAGAAGTAAAAGTGAGTCTCCATTTAGTCACCATGGAGGAATTGCTTTCTCCTTCATGCCAGTATCTCAATTTTCCTTGCTCAGCTTCCACAACTCTTTTTTTTTTTTTAATTAACAAACATTATGGAAAAGTTGTCAAGTTTTAGCATTTGCTATCTTGAGAGGCACGGTGTTTAGGCATGTTTGTGCCCAGTGGAGCTCTAAGGAAGGATCAATATAAACCTGGTATTTGGGGGTTATATCAACATTTGACGTTAATGATCAAGGGTCTGAACCATTACCCTTGGGATCTGGGAGATCAGAATTTGGGGAGAGAAATACAATGGAACGAAGCCAGAGAAGTGACTTTACTGTTTTTAAATTTACAGCCAGTGCATGAGTATGGAGTATCACATCTCTAGACTTTGAGAACAAGATTATCCTCCAGAAGGAAAACTAGAAAGCATCAGTATGTCATGGATAAAACCAATCATCGGCTGAAGTAACCCAATACGGGCCAAATAAAGGGTGAAGGGGGCCAAACAAAGGGTGAAGGAGGACACAGAACAATTCCAGAGCCCGACTTGTATCATCACCACATTGTAGGGTCGGGGGGCATGAACCACTCCGGAAAAAATGGACATTAAAAACCTGGCTTAAGTGAATGTGGCTGGTCTTTAGGTAAAACATCTACTTTTCACTCCTGTGGTTTTTTGACCACACCACACGGCATGCGGGATGCTTTTTCCCTAACTAGGAGTGGAACCCGTGTGCCCTGCAGTGGAAGTGCGAAGCCTCAACTACTGCGCTGCCAGGGAAGTCCCCCTAGGTAAAGCATTTACTAACAGTAGGATGCTTTTTCTTATTGGGAGATGGGTTTCCTGACTGGGACATCTGGTTCTTTTGAGAAGACAAAAGCTTACTGTGGCGATGGATGCCTCAGGCTATCAAAGCTCAATGACACAAGCCCAGAGATTTTCAACACATGTTCCTTGGAACCCTACGCAATGAGACACTGTTATAAGAAGAGTTTCGTGGCTCAGTTTGAGAAGGCTTTCTACACCTTCTTCCAAAGATTCCCAGGGTACACATGTCCTTCCCTCCTACTCCCCCCAGGTTCCTTATCTCAGTAAATGCCACCATGTGCCTAACCACTCAAGTCAGAAATCAAGGACTTATCTGTGATTCCTCCCTCCCTCACCCCAGACAGTCAATCTACCTGTAGTTCTGCTGGCTCACCCTCCAAAATACCCCGAACTGGTCCATGTCCATACTTGCTCTACCACCTTGATCGAAGCCACTGTCACCTAGAGCAGGGATTCCCCAGCCTCTGAGATCTAATGCCTGATGATCCGAGGTGGAGCTGATATAATAGTAATAGAAATAAAGTGCGCAACAAATGTAGTGTGCTTGAGTCGTCCTGAAACCACCACCACCCTGCCCTGGTCCATGGAAAAATTGTCTTCCACGAAACTGGTCCCTGGTACCAAGAAGGTTGCAGACCCCTGACCTAGAGGATGACAAAGCCTCTTAGCTGGGGTCTTTCCTTCTATTCTTGACCTTTCCACAGTCTTATTCTCTAGAGAGAAACAAAAGTGATTTTAAAATAACAACTGTAAATTAACTCTCCTTCCTGCTCAAGACTGGCCAATGGCTTGTTACCTTTAGAATGAAATACCAACTTCTCAGCCTATATAGCTGTCACTGTGACCTTGCTTCAGGGCTATGGGACTACACAGCTCCAGGGGTGACCGTCACACTGCCTTTCATGTCAATGGTGGCGGCTCTCTTTGCTTATAAGGCTGCTTTTCACTTCATACTCCCCTTTGCCCACGGAGCTCCAGCCACATTAGCCTTCTCTCGGCTCCTCCAACCTGCCAAGCTTAGTCCTACCACAGGGCCTTTGTACCAGCTGCTCCCCCTCCCTGATCTATTCCACACCTGCATGGCTAGCCCCCTGTCATTCCTATTTCTACTTCAGTGTCAAGTCCTCAGAGAAACCTATTAACCCAACTTAAATTATGAGCCCAATCCCTCTTAATCCCATTATTTGATTGTACTACCACTTCTGATATTTCTCTTCCCACTTTTGCCTGCCTCCTTCAGTAGGATGTAGGGTGCAGGCACCAAATTTTCCCCTTAGAACCCTTCCCCTGCAAGTTGCTATCCAGGGAATAAGCACTCTGCAGCATGCAGTGTGGGAAGTGATGCCCAGGTCATGTTATCATCCTGACCCCACTAAGGATCACAGAATGACTTCCACCCAGGGGGCCCTTCAGGGCAGAGGTGCTGAGGCTGGCTGCCTGGCTGTCTAGTCCTCATTGCTAGTCCAGGCATCCCTACTAGCCCATAGATTTTCACAATGAAAATTGGGTATAATTAGATAATTAATTAGGGGTTCTGATTTACATCACATCTGTCACTGCTGGTTTTAACACGATCACAACTGGGAAACAGCACTTCTCCTGGGGGAAAGCAGCTGTGACCATTAACCATCTCGAGGGCAGCTGCTTTGCTTCAACCACTTTGTACTTCGCCCAACTACAAATGGCTCCCAAGGGTATGACGGTGTGTGAGAAAACCTATGATTATTAGTGCTGGTGCTTTGGGGGACTGGAAAGAAAAAGCCATCACTCTGTAGCACATATTCAATGAAATCAAGCAATCAACTTGAGTGGTGGCGTTTAGGTTTGATAGCTAAAGTTTTATGTCTTAAAAAAAAAATGTTTTCTCCAAAACTGTACTATGAGTCAAAAACTTTCTAGTTCCTAATCCCCTCCTCTATTTTTTTCCCCTCATTAAGTGTTTTATGAGGTGATTTTTTGCGGTGTTGTTTAGGAATGCAGCTATCAGCATGTGAACACAGTAGACGGTAACTGTTCTGGCATTCTGCTGGTATACCATTGGTTGCAAGTTTCTCTGGAAACACCAACAAAAACTCAGTCCTGATCCAAACAGCGGAGGGTCATAGCTGACACTGCTCCTTGGTCTCCAAGGTCAACAAAACCCAGGCACACTGACTGGGAACGGCTCCCCATCAGGAGATGCTGGCCCACTCAGAGAAGGGGGCCGCCTCTCGTCCTGCTAAAAACCACATGCTATCTTTCTTCTGGGTTCTTGGGATTTCTCTTCTGGCAAAGCAGAGGTATCTGTTGGAGAGCTTCTGCCTCCACTAAGCGAAACCGCTTTGTACGTATAACACTGAACACCCAGCCTGTAGGCTGACACGCAGAAGAAGTTTGAAGTCTATTTTAGGGGCTGTTTATTGCCTATGAGCATGTGTGTGTTAACAGGCCAGAGTTTAAGGAGGGAGCAGCTGGCGACTCTGATCTCTAATAGCCCTCATCTCCACCAGGCACATCCATTTCAAGGTCATGCTGATTCCCCACGAACTACTGGTAGTTCTCAGCCCTGCAGAAGTGCAAACCCGAACCACGTGGGGTGCAGGCTAGAACGGGGTCAGTGTGACAGAAGACCTTGAGAAAAGCCGAATTATCAGTTGATGAGGAGCACCCACCTGGACTGCATCTCGGCTTGTGCTTTTGACGGCTGATGTGGCGCCGGCTGGTGAGGCTGGCACGGGGCTTGGGGGGTGGCTGGCACCTGTTGCTGAGGAGGGCCAGCCTGGCACTGGGAGGGGGCCCCTGCCACCTGAGACCCGGCAGGCGGCAGTGGCGAGGGGAGGTGTGGCTTCTGGGGCGGCGGCTGCTGCTGCTGCTGCTGCTTATACCGGGAGAGGCTGAAGAAGAGGCCTAGGATGGCCTTGAGGTTTCCATTCCTGATCTCTGCAAGACAACGGGGAGATTCTGGTTAGAGGAGGAAGCCCTTCTGGGGAGCCCTGTCTCGCACCCTTTTAGGAGGCGGTTTCAGCCCTCGCATGAGTTTTAATTCCTCTAGAATAGGACAGATTTCCTGAACACTTAATTGGTATCACACTCAATTAAAATCCGGCCTAAACCACAGAGAAATTAGCCAGTTTCTCCCCACTGGGATTAGAGTGGGTACGCGAGGCAAGTTGCAACTGGGATGTCTGGCGAGCGCCAGGAGGAAGTTCTCAGTAAGGACACAACCAAAAAAGACAGAGTCCCGAGCAAGACTGTGCTTGTCCAGGATGCAGAGGAAGGGATCTAGGGATGGAGGCACCAGGGGAGACTCACTGGTGTCTACACAGCACCCCCAAATCCCTGTTCCATGCTTCAAGCCACCCAGAGCGTGCCAAGTAGCCTCCAGCCCACTCCAAAATCCTCACCTAGCTTTGGCCAATCATTCTGCCCTCAGATACATGGCTGTCTCCTGTCCATCAAATAAATAACTTGAGTTTGGGTGGGTGTGGGGATAAGCTATGGGGCTTGCTTCCACAAATAACTCACATTAAAAACATTTTTCCCCCCTACATTAAAAAAAAAAAAATGTGTGCAGAGTAGGGCTAATAAAATATTTATTCCCAGTCAGGAGCTATGGATGCAATGGTGTATCTCCTTGGGCAATCCTTCCTTTTCTACAGTTCTTTTAACACCAGATGCTGACGGCCAGGGTCTAAACTGACCCTGAGGGTAAAACACTATGGGACCCAGCATGTGGGACAGAGAAGGGGGAACCTGGGGGCTCCCTCTGCTTCACTTCCACCCTTCAGTTCAGTCGTGTCTGACTTTTTGCAACCCCATGGACTGCAGCATGCCAGGCTTCCCTGTCCATCACCAACTCCCAGAGTTTGCTCAAACTCATGTCCATCGAGTCAGTGATGCCATCCAACCATCTCATCTTCTGTTGTCCCCTTCTCCTCTTGCCTTCAATCTCTGCCAGCATCAGGGTCTTTTCAAATGAGTCAGTTCTTCGCATGAGGTGGCCACCTCAGCTTCAGCATCAGTCCTTCCATATTCAGTCCTTTCTGAATATTCAGGACTGATTTCCTTTAGGATGGACTGGTTGGATCTCCTTGCTGTCCAAGGGACTCTCAAGACTCTTCTCCAACACCACAGTTCAAAAGCATCAATTCTTCAGCGCTCAGCTTTCTTTATGGTCCAACTCTCACATCCATACATGCATGACTACTGGAAAAACCATACAGACCTTTGTCGGCAAAGTAATGTGTCTGCTTTTCTCTACTTCTACCCTTAGGCTGAAGGTTTCTGAAGTGGGAAGGGAGTTAAAGAGAGTGGGCTGGAGGAAGGGAAGCCCCCACCCCCGGTGCAGGTAAGACACATCTTCAGGTTACCCCAAGCTTGGCAAGAGGACGCTGATAAAGGAACTGTTTCCTCCAATGACCAGATGAAGGGCAGAGGCATGAATGGGGTTCTCTTGAGAAGCAAGCCCTATCCCCTGTTAGCCTGCCAGTGCCCTGGGGTGTGATTGATGACTAGGTCAGGCTGAATTACTTCCTGTTGGAGAGCTCCTCTCTCCAGGCTCTTGAAGAAACTGACAATACAGACTACTAGAATCCAAATTTCACTCTGCTTTGGGAGCTAGCCTGTGCTGATTGTAGGAGAAAACCATCAGAGTCGTGGCTTTTGGAAAAGCCAGGCTTGAATTCCAGTCTGTCTTCTACCACTTGCTGGCTTGTGCAATCACTGAGTCTCCCTGGGCCCCACCTGACAACACTTGCCAGCTTGCCCTGCCGCCAAGGTGGTTTTGCAGCTCAAGTCTGAGCAGAGAGGTGAAGGCACATCTGTAAACAGTCACGTCTCTCACTGGTCCTGGTTCTTGTGTGACAACCACAGCCCCAGGATCCTGTAGGAGCTTCCCAAACAGCTCCAGCTACACGCCTTAAAAATGATGGTTTTTGTAGAGAACGGACTTGTGGACACAGTGGGGGATGGAGAGGGTGGGATGAACTGAGAAAGTAGCATTGACATGTATACACACTACCATGTGTAAAACAGAGAGCCAGTGGGAAGCTTCTGTATAACGCTGGGAGCTCAGCTCCGAGCTCTGTGATGACCCAGCGGGTGGGATAGGGGTGCGGTGGGAGGGAGGCCCAACAGGGAGGGGATATATGTATACTTTTAGCTGATTCATGTTGTTGTACACCAGAAACTAACACAGCATTGCAAAGCAGTTATCCTCCAATTGAAAATTTTAAAAATAATAAAATGGCTGCTTATAATCAGCATAAAACAATATAACACATCCCTTTTGTTTTTAAAAAAATTATGGTTTTTGACTATGTGACATCTTACCATATGGCATTTTTGAGAGGGAGAGGGAGACATTCTTAATTACATTAGGACAACAGGTGTAAGCCAGGCTCACCTGGACAAGTCAAGATGCTTATAAACCACTGTGTGCAATGCAAGGAACATAGAGAATCCCCCAAATGTGGGAAAATCCCCCCGCCTGTTTCTTGGGTAAGCTCAGCTTTAACCCTTCACCCCTCCTTCCTTCTCCATCCTAAGGAAACCAAAGCAGGACACATCCATGGTCTGTTCTGCTGCTGCTTCTAAATATTTTGACAAGGACACCAATGTCATAGGATGTGAATCCTGGATGGGACGATTCAGTCTATAGACTGAATTTTTCTAAGATGCAACCTCTGAGTCTCCGTGTTCTTCTTGAAAATGGGCATTTTCCTCGTGGGAAGGTGGAGGGTAAAGTGACGTTCCCCCTGGTTAACTCAGCTGAACAATGACAGGGGGCAAAGCCAGAATCAAGGGCTGGCAGGCAGGGCAGGACCTGTTACGGAACTCGGGAAAACAACTTCCTCTCAAAATAGAATTCCCTGGATGATGAAAATAGAGCTATAATCATGCTAGATGAAATCGATGTAAGATTTCAGTGTCTTTTATAGAGCTACTACTAATTAGCATATACCAAGTGAAGCTTTTCACATACATGATCTCAATCAGTCACCCAACATGGTATAACTTGGCTTACTTACATCCCCATCACATGTCATGAATTTAAAAGCACGCAAGATAGTATTTTCCATATTAAGTTAGCTTATGGACACAGAAATATTCTTTATTCTCCTTCTATAATAGAAGTGTTCTTTTATTATGGAATGTGTCAAACATCCCATAATACATTTTTAAAAAAACCACGCAAGAAAAACAGGAGAAAATAAGAATTCCAGAGCAAAGCCAGAGGATCGGGGGTTGCTCCTGCAAACAGTAGGTACGTCCACGTTGGCTCCCTCACATCTACCTGCCCAGCCCAGGGCAGAGGAGCGGAGCCGCTTTGTCATCATCTCTCCCTGTGACGTTCAGTCATTTATTGCTCAGAACTGTTCTATTCTTCCTCAAAACCTCTTTTTATTTGTGAAAGGGCCCAGTGCTCCCATGAATACACTGTTTCTTAGGAAGAAGCACGTTTACTTTATGGATCACTGATTGTTAGTCGCAAAGACTGGGGTTTGCATTTCTCAAGTCCATCCTTGGAAGACTTCAAAGTTTTTCCAAGAGTTAACCTCTCTGGGCCTCAGTTTTCTTCTTTAAAATGGGCATATGTGTGCCACACCTTCCCCATAGGGATGCTATGGAGATTAACAGGATTAAAAGAGAAAAGAAAAGCCATGCAGCCTCTCTCTGTACTTCCTTGTTTGGTTCAGAAAATAAAGTTGTACTTGCCGCCTTTGGAGAACTCAGCACAGGCTCTTCACCTACAAGAAGCCGAAGGAGCTGTCCCTCCTTCCTGCACATCCCCTCCAGACAACCACAGGCCCAAGAAGAAAACCAACCATGATCATCTCATTTTAGAGAAAACTCAGTAGGCATCTCTTTTTAAAAAAAGAAATCAGCTTTATTGAGGCATAATTTACAACCGCAAAATCAAGCGTATAATGATCTTTAGTAAATTTAGTAAATTCTAGTTTTAGACTATTTCCATCCCCCTGAAAAGCGCTCATCTGTAATCAAGTCCCAAACCCATCCCCTCAGGCAAATTCTAATCTTGTTTTCATTGATTGGCCTATTCTGGGCCAATTTCCTGTAAGTGGAATCATGTGACCTGTAGTCTTTTGCTTCTGGCTTCTTCCACGGAAGAATGCAGGAGACCTGGGTTCAATCCCTGGGTCGGGAAGATCCCCTGGAGAAGGGAATGGCAATGCACTCCAGTATTCTTGCCTGGAGAATTCCATGGACAGAGGAGACTGGTGGGCTACAGTCCATAGGGTCGGAAAGAGTTGGACATGACTAAGCAACTACACTTTCATTCTTCCATGGAGCTTGTTTTTAAGGTTCATCTGGGTGAGAACATTATCATTAGTTCGTTTCTTTATATTGGGAGGAATTCTCCCATTATATGGATAGACCACATGTTATCCCTTTCAGAACACAGGACTCAACCATAGTGAATGCTTTGGAGTTAAGAGGCACACAGTTCATGCCATGGGTGATCTTTAACAGACAGTATCCAAAATAGCTAGAACTGTGTTCTTATTTCCAAATGGCATTTGTCTGTGTGCCACAAGGCCTGGTAAGCTGGCTACCCAGGCTCTCTAAAAACAAAATCCACCAGCCCACAAAAATGTTCCCCCTATGACATTTCCTGAGGCTTTGGAAAAAGAGCATCATTTTATTTCTGATCAACTATCCTCACACTCTTGATCTTTAGAAAGGAAAAAAAAAAAAAAAGTAGAACTAGAGAGAGATGGGCTTCCCTGGTGGCTTAGATGGTAAAGAATCTGCCTGCAATGTGGGAGACCCGGGTTCAATCCCTCGGTAAAGAAGGTCCCCTGGAGAAGGGAAAGGCAATCCACTCCAGGATTCTTGCCTACAGAGAGAGAGAGAGAGAGAGAGAGAGAGAGAGAGAGAGAGATGGCTTGTCTAAGGAGACATGAGCTAGCAGGGCG